GAGGAAACTGAGATAAACAGGGTTAAGTGACTTGCCCAGGGTCACATGGCTAGTAAGTGTCTGAGGCCAAATTTGAACTCATGAAAATTAGTTTTCCTAATTCCAAGCCTAGTGGTCTATGTACTTTGCCACCTACTGGCCCCTTGGACTCAGTCATCCCCAACCATATTCTATAAGCTATTATTGTCATGGAGCAACTTTTATCAGTTTCCCCCAGAGGACTACGGGTTTGGAACATTTCTTATACTGTCAGTTGATATATTGATTAGTTTTGCTAAACTGCTTTTTTTTCCTCTTTCTTTTTTATTCTTTGTTACTAGGAATTACTCTCTAGGAGAGGAATGGATAGGAAGAGACATTTGGAAACGAAGGTGATAAAAAAGCAAAAGACATCATCAAACAGTTCTTTAAAAAGAAAAAGAAAAAAAGACACATCCCCCACAAATCTGAGGATATTCCATCCTTGAAGGATGTTGCGGTGAGTCTGTGTTTGAGCTCAAAGACCTTTCTTGCTTTTCTCTCCCACTGTTTAAATTGAATTTCTAACATATAGTCTTTGGGCTGAGTAAGTTGTGTTACATCATTGAAATGGAATGCTCCTTGGCTGGCAATAGGAAAGATATGAAGAATACAGGGAAATGTGGAAAGACTCAAAGTGATACAAAGTGAAGAAAGAAGAATTAGAACACGTTGACTATGATGGCATAAAATAGCTTATAAAACAATACTTCTCAAGTCTATAAACAGAAAAGAGATTAGAAGGAGTTACAGAGTAAATAAATAGTTATTATTTTGCTAAAATGTGTATCATTGTCCTACATTTCACTGGAGCTGTGATCTCATCCATGTGAGCATCCACTCCATCCTGCGGTACTCATCCATAATGCTAGCATCTTTCTTTTTTTAAAAAAAATCAAAATGTTGTCAGATTCCATGGTTTCATTTAAGGTTTTAGTCCACATTCTGTTTATTTGTATTAATTGAGACTGTTATTAAGTTTAATTCCGTTTCAATTCAATTTAACAAACATTTCCTCAGCACTTACTATGGGCAGAGCATTGCACAACTAGGCACTGGAAAAGATATAAAATTTAGGTTAGGTCCAATCCCTGCCTAAATAGAACTTATGGTCCAGAAGAGGGGACGAGACACAAGCACAGACATCCATAACGCTTAGTTTACTTGATAATAAGAGTGCAAGATATGGAGTTAGCTAGAGAAGAAGGTTGTTATTAGTGGGGAATCAAGGAAAGTGGAAGTAACTAATTAAAAAAAACTATAATAAAATATTGGAGAAATAGTATGACCAAGTAGAATGTAGTTAGGTGGCATAATGGATAGAGCACTGGGCTTGGAAACAGCAAGACTCCTCTTCTGGAGTTCAAATCCAGTCTCAGACAACAATAACAACAAATGAACGGGTGGACAAAGAGTTTCAGAGTCAAGAAGATCTGGGTTCAAGTCCTGCCCCTGAATACACTGGTTATATGACCCCAGGTGAATCTTTTGACCTCTAAGTGCCCCAGACAGCTCTTTCAGGGTATAGACTACAGAGAAATGGCCCAGCTACATTTTTAAAATAGTATTTTACTCTTTCCAATTACATGTAAAGACAAAATTTAACATTCATTTTAAAAAATGTTAAGTTCCAATTTTTTTCTCTCCCTCTCTCACTTCCCTCCTCCCTAAGATGGCAAGCAATTTGATATAGGTTGCATATGTGCAATCATGTAAAACATATTTCCATATTAGTCATGTTGTGAAAGAAGAAACAGACCAAAAGAAAAAAATCCATGAAAAAAATAAAGTGAAAATAGTATGCTTCCATCTGCATTCAGACTCCATCAATTCTTTGTCTGGGTGTGAATAGCATTTTTCATGAGTTCTTTGGAATTGTTTTGGATTACGATATTGCTGAGAATAGCTAAGTTATTCATAGTTGATCATCATACAGTGTTGGTGTTACTGTATACAATGTTCTCCTGGTTCTGTTCATTTCACTTTGCATCAGTCCATGTAAGTCTTTCCAGGTTTTTCTGAGAGCATCCTGCTCATCATTTCTTATAGCACACTAGTATTCCATTACATTCAAATACCATTGTTCAGCCATTCCCTAATTGATGGACATACTCTCAATTCCCAATTCTTTGTCACCACAAAAAAGAGCTACTATAAATATTTTTATATAAGTAAGTCCTTTTCCCTTTTTTGGATTTCTTTGGAATATAAACCTAGTAGTGGTATTGCTGGATTGAAAGATATGCACAATTTTATAGTCTGTTGGGAATAGTTCCAAATTGCCCTCCAGAATGGTTAGATCAGTTCACAACTCCACCAACAGTGAATTAGTGTCTCAATTTTCCCACATCCCCTCCAATAATTATCATTTTCCTTTTATGTCATATTAACCAATATGATATACGTGAGATGGTACCTCAGAATTGTTTTAATTTGCATTTCTCTAATCAATAGTGATTTTGAGCATTTTTCATATATCTATAGGTAGCTTTGATTTCTTCATCTGAAAACTACTTTTTCATATCCTTTGACCATTTATCAATTGAGGAATGACTTGTATGCTTATAAATTTAAATCAGTTTACTATTTATTTGAGAAATGAGGTCCTTATCAGAGACATTTGCTATAAAAAATTGTTTCCTGGCTTTTTGCTTTCCTTCTAATCTTGGTTGCTTTGGTTTTGTTTGGGCAAAACCTTTAAATTTAATATAATCAAAATTAACCATTTTTACATCTTGTACTGCTTTCCATCTC